ACAGGGTGATTAGCTGCAGCCAGAGCCAGGCCGGGATGGGGAGCAGCCAGTGCGGGGGTCCCAGCTGGCACCTGGGAAACAGAAGGGAACTCGCAGGCTGGGGGCTGCAAACAAAGCCGGATTTGAACTCAGCCATGTCCCCCTCGACAGATGGGACTAGCCAGGGGTAGATCCTCTGCCAACAGGCCAGGACCCTCCTCCCATCGGGACACCCGTCCTGCCAAACGCCCAGCCCTGAGCCACCATCTGCCTGCTCCGTTGTCGTACCTGAGGCTGCGGCTACACTACGTGCTTTGCCGGAAGAGGCAATGAAAATGAAGCGTGGATTAGCATTTTCTCACGTTTCATTTGCATAATTCCTTTCAGTTCGTTTTGGGGCAAGATCGTTATCCTTCTCCCTGGGAGAACAGCTGGGTTTGGGGTTTTCCCAGTATCGCAACGTATTCAGTAAGACACAAAACTAGACTGCACAGCCTCACCCACAAGGAGAGCACAGGTACAGTCCAGCAGCGTTTTCATGTTCAATAGATGAAGACTCTTTGAGGGACTCCTCTTACGGCGGGCTCGGTACAAAACACCCCACGATTACATGACACTGGTGGAGGTGCGGGCTCCAGGGTGCTGTTGGGAGGTGCTCAGTGCCAGAGACACCCCCATTGTATTTAAAGCCCCCAATATTTAAACATCACCTCATCCCATTGGCCTCCACAACAGGGCTGGATATTTCTGCCTTTCCACGACTTTCAATGGAGTTTTGCAGCCTCCCTGACACTTACAATTTGACTGCGGCCTTCGCCTGCTTCTCGTTTTTCTCAGCCTCTCCAGTCCTGCAATCAGATGCCCAGGTGGGACTTTCAGCTTCCTTTGCTTTTCAAGTCAGTTTCTAGCCTTTGTCATTTTAAAGAAACGCTGGAAATAGCCCCTAAGGAATCAGAAAGCACCAAAGAACCCACATGCCTTTTCAAACCCGCCTCCTGAGGTTTCAGGGGCAGCTGGTGAGGTTAGGAGGCTAATGCTTGGCTATGAAGTTGCTGGACTAGATTTTTCAAAGTGCCAAAGGGAGTTAGGCACCAAATTTTCCCACTGCAGGGCAGTAGGAGTGAAGCCCCTAACTCACACAGGAGCATTTGGAAATCTCTAAGTTGATTGAATCCCATCGTGTGCAGGCCGGCAGTGAAACAGGGACAATTGTAAGTGTTGGTGCACAAATGGCAGAGGTCTAAGGAATCAATTGGGTGAACTCGAGTTAGGAAATGAGAAGATTGGGGAAACAGGCGTCAGAGAAACTTGGTGGAACCTCGATGACCAGTGGGACAGGATAATACCCTGGTACCAATTATATCAGAAGGGCAGAACGGGCTGGGCGAGGTGGGGGCACTGTATGTGAAAACAGCCGAGAATCAAATTAAGTAGGAATTTTAAATTAACCAAACTGGAGCACGTGTAACCCAGGCACCTAGTAGGGAGCTGTGTCTTTAAGAAACCCCTGTGGGGAGGTAGGAGTGAGTTGAGTGTTACTGTTGCTGGGCGGATTTAGCCTCCACACCCAGAAGGTTCTGGAGTTGGGTGGGGTAATTTGGGGTCAGGCTCCATGAGGCTGCAGGCAGGGCAGGTGCTCATCTAAGTGAGCTGGGAGGAGCAGAGAGCAGGCTGCTGTTCCTCACTCTGCAGCAGGTGGTGATGGTGTTAACCCTCTGCCAGGGATCATGGGCCATGCTAAATTTTATGGTAGGTGGAACCTGGGAGGGGAAATCCCTTCTTCTGTGCTAATTGTCTGTTCTCAGTGCAGGTTTGCGTTTGGCCAAACTGCTTAGCTTGAATGCAAAAGCTAATGGAAGAACACTGATGCACAGTACTTGCACTGAAATCAAGGGCAGTACTTTTCTTTTGAGAGCAGAATGGGAAGACAACATATATTTTCAAGGTGTCATGAATTTTGTTGTTTTATCTCATTTTGGCTTTAATGTATTTCTATTTTGGACATATCTGCACATGAGGACAGAATTGCTTTCATTACTGTCCACTGGCATAATGGTACCTTGTGATTCCAAATAAGAGGATGTTCCCTGTCCCATCGGGCTTTCTTGCACAAGAAATGCATGCTCCTGTCTACACTGGCCTCTTGCGCAAGAACAGTTGCACAAGAGGGCTTATTCCTGAGCGGGAGCATTAGAGTCCTTGCACAAGAAGCCCTGATTTCACACATTAGAACGTCAGTGTTCTTGAGCAAGAACTGCCCGCCAGTGTAGACAGGCAGCATGTTTTTGCACAAAAGCGGCTGCTTTGGCGCAAGTTCGCACCAATGTAGACACAGCCTCAGTGTTTGTATTATCTTGCCTCAGGGTTTCTGTAAGTCTGTTCACTTGAGAGTTAACTGCCTGGTTAATCAGGAAGCGAGCTGCCTAGCAGTGATCCACGGTAGGGGAAGAGGCTGCCTGGACTCCAATTGCGAATCCCTGCGAGCAAGTGGAGAGATGGTTCAGACTCAGCGTATGGTGCAGATTGGACGAGCAGAGGCACAAACTGAGGCTTTGGGGAACTAAATCTGAGTGTCTGGGGCCTCTCCGACTTTTCCTGTTGTGTCTGTGTGGAGTGGACTGGTCACACTTTACTTTTGGTTTCCTCTTCACTTCTGTTTGCTGTCCCACTGTGGGCAGTATCTGTGGGTTAGACAATGGGCGTGTTCTGTTGTGAGAATTAGACAATTTGTTTCTCCATAAGATTTTATAAAGTTATTTAATTAAATTCATTTCTTTAGTTTCTTTTGGAACGTGAATGTAGGGAGGCTGACACCGGGCAATCCTTGCTACTGTTCCTTAGAGATTGAACTCTGGCTCTCCAGTACTTTCTATGGGACTGGGATTTTTGTAGATGCTGGAGAAGGGCAGTGAAGTCTGGCCCACCCAAGGTCAAATCTCAGTTATAATGGGGGATTTAAACTATCCCCATCTTGACTGTGGACACGTCACTTCAGGACGGGATACTAAGGGAAAGTTTAAATGACTCCTTCTGGGAACAGCTTTTCCTGGCACCCACACGGGGAGGGGCCATTCTTGCTCAGTGGAGCACAGGATCTGATCCCAGAGGTGACAACAGCTGCACCATTTGGGAACAGTGACCATCAGATAATTAGATTTAATATCCCCGTGGCAACAAAAACACCTGAGTGGTGCAGCTCTGAGGTATTTAATTTCAGAAATGGGAACGCCACAAAACAAGGCAGTTAGTTCAAGAGAAATTGAAAGTTACAGGGACAAAAGTGAATCCCTGCAAGCTGCAGGAAAACTGTCTCAACCCACCACGCTAGAGGGTCAACTTAAATGTATACCCCAAATTAGAAGACTCAAAAGGGAATAGAAAAATACTGTGTAGTTTGTCAGAAGCAGGAAGTGGCTAACCAACCTGTGGGCCGCTGGACGATCGAGATGAGAAAAGATGATAAGAATATTCCGAGAAACAAAATGAATTCTTTGCATTGGTCTCCACAGTTGAGGTTGTGAGGGAGATTCTCACCCCTGACTAGTTCCTTTCATGTGACACATCTGAGGAAATGCCTCTGACTGAGGTGTCATTAGAGCAGATTACAGAACTAACTACTCGCTGTGGTTTGTAAACTATTAATTAAATCTCCTTCTGTGACAGATAACTTTGAAGATAGCGACTGTGACACCAGTTTTCAAAAGGGCTGTAGAGGTGATCCTGGCAATTACAGACTCGTAAGTCTAATGTCAGTATCGGGCAAACTGGTTGAAATCCCAGGAACAGACTTGAGTCCGCCAGCCCCAGCCTCCTGTCTTGAATCTCCACATCCCATAGTTCAATATCTGTTCCCGTCTGGATACTTACAGACTGGGATCAAGTCACCTTCTCTTTGTTAAGCTATAGACTGAGCACTTAGATCTCTCAGCTCTTGTATTAAGGCAGGTTTTCTAATCCTGCAAAAGGAAGACAAAATTCACTTGTCATCAAAGTCAATTTTGGAGTAAAAAAGAAACTATTAGTCCCAGTGCACAGAATTTTTTCTCCAGGGAATATCGACATTCTGGGCTCTGCCTCCGCTAAAATTGGCCCTTGCACCTCATGAAGGGGGAGGTGGAGGAAGGGGCTGATTGCCTGGTTCTGGTCCTGCGTGGTCTGTGATGTGAGAGTTACAGGTACTTTGCCGGTACTTCAGAAACTCTTCCTCCGTGGCGAGGTAGAAGATAGGACTGACACAGCTGTAGAAATACGCTGGAGCCAGGACAGAAGCCAAAGTGCTATCAGTGTCTTTGAAAGGCACAAAGTACGGAGCTGAAATCCACAGAAAGAAGAAGACGTGATACGGCAACCAGAAGAGGAAAAAGATCGGGATCAAGCAAAGAAGATTGTTGAGCGGCTGGGTGGCCTGGATCATCCGGTTCCTTCCCAACCTGATAGTGTGATCGATGCAGAGGGCTGGGATCAGGCTCAAGGCTAACGGGATCAGAAACGCAGCCAGGAACTGTAGGGCAACAGCGACTTTCGCACTCCCTGGATCCACTTGGAAATTCATGTTGGTGCTGGCAGGTGGGAAGAGGGATTCCCAGAGGTCATTGTACCTCAAGCTGAACCCAGCAGAAAGGGCCCATGTGCCCAGAGCCACCCAGGAGGCCAGGGAGGCCGTGCAGCATTTCTGGGCCCACTCAGGCCGAGCCACGAGGACGCAGCGATGGACGCTGATGGCCGTGAGGAGGAAGGCACTGGAGAACATGTGCAGGGAGGTGATGGTGCTGCTCAGCCTCCTGGCCCAGTCCACATGCAGGAAGTAGATAAAGACAAATCTGAGGGGCAGGGAGAGGATGAAGATGAAATCGGACACGGTCCGGTTCAGGAGCCACACGGTGCTGGCAGTTCTCTCCACACGGCATGGCGCCCCAGTGAGGAAGGCCAAGCTGTAGAGCACCAGGAAGAACATCTGGAGGAATTCCATTCTCGGAAGCGCTGCCCTGACAGTATCACCCCCTTCTCCTCAGGGCTGGGCGGGGACGGGGCAGACGCTGGGCTGAGGGGGGGAAGGGAGAGCAGTGAAAAGGGCTGCAGGATGGGACAGAGAGACAGAGGCGGCGTTTATAAACTCCCGGTCCCTGGGCTGAGCTGAGGTGGGATCGAATCCTTGTGGGCCGATGGCCCCAGTGGTACAAAGCCCTTAGAGGCAGCGAACTGCAGGGCGAGCAGGGGACCGAAAGGGTCGTCTCAGTGAAGTTGCTGCCGAGATGCAGGGTTTGTGTTCTCTGTACCCAGCCCAACGGGTTTTGGTTTTACATCGGGGAGGGGGTTACCCAGCCCAATTTCAAATAATCACTTTAGCTTCTTGCTGATTATTTGTGTGTCCAAGCGGGGGAGGAGGCAAGGAGGGGAGAATTGCTCAGATGCAGAGACAGAGCCCTGGAGACGTCTTCCTCCCCCTCCACCCTCCTGAGCCTCGCTCACCCCGGCCCACGCTACGGGACAAGATTGAATTCAGTAACTTCAGCTTTCATCTTTACTCAGCTTTTGGCTGTTTTCGACTTCCCCTACTCCTCATACGAGCACGGTTACTGGCCCTCTCAGTTTGGAGTCCCTCTCCGGGGCTTCACTAGATCCGCCAAATCAAAGCCTAGAAGACTGACGGACGCAGTTTCAATCTTTTCCGTCGGGTAGACATGGCCTGAAAATCCCAACTACTCTTTTTGCTGTTGGTTTCCCAAAGGGGCTGGCGACTCTCTGGGTTTATGTGAGAATGTACCCAGTGACCAATCTCCCCCCTACCCTTTTAAAAATGTTGTGAAGAGGATTTTCTGGCTTTTAACAACCGAGACAACAAATGAGCTCCCGGATAGTGCACCGGAGAAGGGGGGACCCCTGAGCTCAGATTGTCTCTCTCAACACCCAGCGGGTTGGGGGTTCATAACCTCTCACCAGAGGACACGCAACTAATGTCTACCCAGTGGGATGAGGGGGGTGGATGGGGCAGCTGGAAGGGGGAGATATAGCTGCGGGGAGGTGGGAGGGCAGTATGACACCCCGTGGGGGAGTTGGAGGGTTTTCCTCATTTCCTTACCTGTGTCTTGGTGGTACACAGCATCTCTGAGTCGAGCCCCATCCCAGGTCCCCCAGACGACTCCTGCAGCTCGCTCAGACTGACTCAGCCGGCAGCAGGAAGCCGTGTGTGTGGGTGTATCTGGGAGGGGGAGCAATGGAGGGAGACCACAGGATGTAGCTGGTCCAATCACTTCTGCAAAGCCTGGAAGGCCTCCAATGGCCATTGGTACATGCAGCTGTCACATGAATCACAAACCCAGGGCCAGTGGGGCAGGGCAGCCAGCAGAGAACTGGGGCTGAGACCAACACATCCAGCTCCTCTAGGTGAGGTTCCAGGAGCAGAGACCTCAGCCATGACTTTGCCCCCTCCGATCCCCTCCCAGCTGGGGAACGAGACCAGAGCTTGGCTGGGAATCGGCCACATGAGATCCGAACCCGGCTTCTGCTGCAGGGACTGCCCCCTGGCCCAGCCAGCACTAAGGAAATCCTCATGCAAGGCTAGAGACCACACAGACCACAGCCCAGAATCCCAGCCCTCAGAGTGGGGAACTGCAGTTGTGCATGGCAGTGCACACGGACTGGCACTCGCCGTTCTGAATTCACGTGCCTGGTGAGGAATCCATTTCTCAAAGCCCAGTTCCTCAATCTCATTTGGTTTCTGTTTTGTCACATACTTGCTGACAGGTGTCGCAAAAATAATGATTGAAATGGCGGCGGGGGGAGGGAAGGATTATATTGTGTAAGTTCGACAAATACAATTTGAAGAATTTTGCAGAATTTTAAAATATTTTGCGCCGCGGGTTTGGTTTTTTTCTTGTCGAATTTTAATTTTCCTGCAGAATTCCCCTCCCGGGTGCTTAATCTGCTCTATGCAATGTATTCCACAATGGCCCAGTAAAATGTGAAGGCAAACCATCGCGTAGGTTTGCCAGGTCTCCGGTTTTCTACCGGACAGTCCGGTATTTTGGGGCTCTGTCCAGTAAAAAAAATCTAGAAAATACTGGACATGTGCAATGTTCAGTATTTTCTGGTTTTCTGACTGGGTGCCTAGAAGCCTGGTGGGGAGAGTGGCAGGTAGGCGGGGTGCGATCAGCGCTGGGAGCTCTGGTTGCGTGTGAGGAGGAGGGGCAGCCCAGTCTGGGCTCCTGCACACTGATCAAGCGCGTGGTGGAGCCGCAGCCGGACTCACTCGCGCTTCTCCAGACTGTGCGTGGGACTGACAGCGCCCCAGGGGCCGCATGTGCCCGGGTCAGTCCTGCCCCTTCCCCCAATCCTTCCTGACCAGCTCCACTGCCCCCAACCATCTCCCAGCCATCCCTGCTTCCTGCCGGCCGGTTCTCCTCCTCCCGGTCTCCCACGGCCAGCCGTGCTGCCCCCCCCC